ATAGCATACAGCATCACGAACATTGTAAAGATAATCCAATGGCTCATGCTTTTTAGTATTTGATGGTTAATATCAGAGCACGCCAAAATAAAATACGCCCAGTAATCATGATCAAGGATAAATACACCTCAAGCCAATGTTCTATTCCATATCAGCATGTCAAATTCGAAGGCAATTTTCAAAACTCGAATAAAAACATAGCCAGCCATAAAGAAAGTCACACGGCATACGCATTAAGCAAGATATATGCCGGTGTCTGCATCATATATGCACAACAGTGGGCTCAGACCTCGGACGAGCCTGCATCGCATTCATGCACAAGCACCATACACTACGGACGGATAGCCAACGGATAGCCAGTAACTTCCGTAGAATAATTCCACTGCGCGCATAGTGATGCATCCTTCAGTGAAAGTCGGATAATCAATTCACACAAGATACAAAAAAAATTGATACTTAGAAGTGTCGGTTAAATACGCCAGGCTTACGGAGTAGTGAGACAAAAGTTAAAGATCCACATTAAAAAAGGAAAGACATGTCACATATTCACTGCGGAGACACTTTGTTTGAGTTTAAAACAAGATAATTGGCGGTTATTAACTATTTGTCGACTAATGGCTCGCAATATCCCCCCTATGCGAGCGGCCAGGCCGGACTCGTGCACCAAGCCCAGATATGATTATCGGCCGCTGTATATGAGCAACAATGCAAAGCCGCCAATATGTACTCAGCCAACTTATAAGGGATCGTATATTCATCCAACATATCCAAAGAAAAAGAAAAATATACTAATTTTTTTACCATCTTCCACATCCCTCGTTTTCCGTCCACGTTGCTTATAGGGACATGAGAAGTTGACAGATCATATCCCGTTTGCAAAGGCAATGGGCGATAAAATTTAGAGCTTAACGCAGTCAAGCCCAATGTTGATGAGGCCAGCCTGAGGGAGAAAAAATAAACACGTCAGTAATTATCCAATGAGGGAGAGGGTTTGCAGGGTTGAGAGAAGATTGTGTCTTACCTGGGGAGCAGACTTGCAGCAGTAAGAGCCACCACCGCAGGAGTTGCCGAGGAGGTTGATGTTGCAGAGCAAACCGGCGATGAGGCCGTTGCAGCAGACGTAGTGAGGGTTGTTGTTGTTGCACTGGCCGGCATCATTTCCACCGTTGGTGGGAACGGCCATGACGGAGGCAGCAAGAGCGACGAGGGCAACGGCGTACTTCATATTTGCGGTTGAAAGGGTAAGATAGCTGGAAGCTAAAAAGTTTGGATAAGTTGAGAGAGTAGAAAGATGATTGTCTGAGATGGTATTGATGGGCTGGATGAAGAGGAAATTTCAAGAGAAAGAAGTGCAGGATATCATGGGCATTTTATATTCGAAGGGACTGGCGATTGCTCCCTCCCTTCCTTCCTCTTCTCGCCGGAGAAAGAAGAAGAAGCGTATCCAAAGGCGTAGCCGTAAAGAGTGGTCCGGTAACATCGGGGAAATCTGCGGCATCGCTCGTGAATACAGGTCAATGTGTAAGCCGCAGACGTAGGTAGGCACACGGATGTGTTCAAATCCGTTCACCTTGCATCTCAAGGGGGATCCTTGACAACAATTTGCTGGGCCATGATGGGCTGAATGCCGAGCAATACTTCCCGCCAGCGAGCTGTGCCTCCTTGCTGGAGGATCCTTGGCGGATCGACACTAATAGTTTCCAGCCGCCGGCCATTCGAGCACGGTATATCATGCAAAGGACGTTACATTTGGCCCTCAGCTGGGGCTCCAGCAAAAAGAACAAGTCTCGTTCCAAGCACGTCCAAGCCAAGATACAAGGGGGATATTGCAGGTTTGCCACTCGCAGACATGTGCGTTGTTTACGTACATGGCTTGTTGGGGGTTCACGGGCTGTCGCTGGCCAAAGGGTTACGCTACCACATATCCTTGCTGACTGGGGGTGTTTTAAACTAAATTTATGTACGTGCCCCTTTTTAGGACTGGCCTTGTGGTCCCCAGCAAGGAGTTAGACGCCGCTATAGCCTTTGGGGGGACCTTTGGGGAACAGTGTGGGAGAGGGACAGGGAAGAACAGACATATAATCGCTTGCCTATGCCAGTTAGGCAGCGCCCGCGGAAGATATGCATGTATCCTCCGTCCGGGGTGTCGGCCAAATCGGCGGACGGCCCAGACTTCCCAAGTCAGTGGACCTGGGGTTGCTGCTGGTTCGAGTCAGGCTAATTTAGATTCGTTCTAGGACACAGCAAACGGAGCACAAGGCCAGCGCACTGACGGATTGACACTACCCGGTGCGCTATGTACTACTATAAGGAAATTACTCCGTTCGATACGGTTCAATTCAACCAAGCTAGGCGCGGGCTCAGACTTGTCACACCTGTACGGAGTCGTTACTAGTATACCGCCAATACCAATACCACCAGCCCAGTTGTGTGTGCTCCATAGGCCTCAATCTATAGCACGGTCGACTTCGTATAATTTATGATACGTCGTACGGTATTGGTTCCCAGGGCACGGCAAGGTAAGTGACACAGCAGAAAACAGCCGGGCCCGAAGCGGCCGCACGCCGTTGGGAAGCACCAATGCATGACATCCCAACTTGTTCTTGCAGCGCCCCTGTGTGGGTAGAGCAAGCCACAAAAGCTCATGAACTCACGAGTTCGAAGGCTGCGTCAGCGTCACGGTCGTCATCACGGGCTTCAGCGGGCAGGCAAAAGCATACATACGGTAGAGCTAAAACGGCGCCAAGGGAAGCAAAAGCAAATGGCCACGATCAGAGTGTCGAAGCCTCCGATGACTGACCCCTGCCGCCTACCTCAAATGTGCACAAAAACACCCAGCGGTAACCAAAACAAACCATGGCTCGCGAGCCAGCACCCGGTTTGTCGGGGGTGGTTCTGTGTTGTCATTGGCTTCGACGTCCCGGCCCAGCTGCTGCCGACGCCATTACGAATGGAATGGCTGCAAGCCACTTTTGACATCTGTCTCTTCAGCCATCCCGCCTCTAACGCTCAGTCGTTTTTAGCTCCATGGCTTTGTGTGGCTACCTCTCAAAACAACTCCGAACGTTGCCCCCACCGCCACGCAGCGTTAAAGTGCACGGGAGGACTCAGGGGGTGGGAAGGGGTGTGGAGTGCAATGGACTGCGAGAAGGGGGAGGGTCGACCCAAAAACCTCGACTCCCGCCAATTACAAGCAAACACACAGGGCCATCTGCCGACGAAGCCGGATGTCATACCGACAAATTGCGCCAGGCAGAAGTCAAGTGAGGCTGGGGTAAAGTGGGCAAGCGGGTTTCTGTCGATGAGTGGGGAGAAAACACAATCAGAAAATAGGAGAGACCTTCCGGAGCAGTCAAGTTAGTTAGTTGGTTATGGAGAACGGAGTAAGCTGCTTGTCTTACCTTGCTGGTAGTCTCCACGGCCGATGATGCGAGAATGACAAGCACAACGAGCAAGGCAAAGCATCAAACTAGTAGTAGCTCCTCTATCTATGAGGCATTTCGGTAACGATCCCCGGTGCTGGTGGTCACGACTCTTGCTGGTTCTGCCAATTAGTGCTGTCTGCGGAGTACTAAGGTAGAAGCTATAGCTGTCAGAAAGGGTTGAGGTCGCATTGGAAGACTTTGCTTCGAAGACTGACGAACTAACTAAAAAAAAAGCTGGGTCTCATGGCTGTGCGGGTTGTCGCTGAGGTGCCCGAGACGACTCCTCTGCTGCAAAGTAGGTACTCATCTCGTCCCCAACAAGTTTGCTGCGCTGCAGTGGCCGTGGGATTCCTACGTAATACGCCCAGTAGCCTACACATCATAAACCCATGTCTGCTTGAACGGTTAGTTACTCCGTACAAGCAAATATAAAGGACATGAGATATGATCATCTTTGCCTGCCGTTGCCGGGTCCGGGACCACCCCTCCGCATGGGCCCCGAGGATGCCCCCAGGAGTGTAATTAGGGATCCCTTCAGCACACAGCACCAAACCAGCTTTATGGCTACGGATTGATGGCATAACCATGGTACTGCTATGAGAATCATCGGGCGGTGCAGGTCCTCCCGCAGACGCTTCCCGCAGGTGCATCTCAGCCAGCCACGCAGTTGAATGTGATTGGGCTAACATTTCTCCTCTTCATCAGCGCCTAGTCGAAACCCGCTTATACCCCTTGTTTGTTTTCGTTGCTCGCTGCTCGCTCATGGGGGCCGTATAGACGACGTAGCGCCAAATGCAGGTAAGATGAAGTCATGATACTCAGCGTGGCTGCACGAATGGCCTTGGTGGGCGCCAAGACGCCTCACCCTTGCTTACCACCCACCGGTATTACTTGCAGAATCTTTCTCTTCAATGTGTTGGATCTTGATTTCCAGCAGATTTGACTGGGTGCCTCGTTGACGTGATGACTGCTCCCGAGACAACTCATAGGTTTGCCGGCGGAATATGCCGGCTTAATCTGGTTCCATGCACGGAGTAGCTAGTACTAGTATGTACGTAGCCGTACCAATGTTGTAAATCCAAGGCGTCCCAGCAATTGAGTTCTTGATTCCTCACCAGTTCATGTAACAGCAGCCCTTGGCCGCCCAGTGAATATCGGACCGAGAAATGTAACCAGCCGCAATTACATCCCCTCTGCTCACCCAAAGCCATTACTGCGCCAGGGAATAAAGAACAAACAGCTAATACAACGCACAGAAGACGCACAGACAAGGTGCATTAGTCGAGCAGAAGATGCAACGACAAAACAAAAAGAAAAAAACAATTCACCCGAACTTAACCATACCCCTGGACCTTGATGCATAAGCCCTGCAGAAAAATGTGAGACAATTGGCGGACCATACGGGGAAACCAATGGCAAGTGCAGCCATGCGGCAAAATATACTTAGCAGTGAATCATCATCTAATAAAAGAAAACGAACATTCCTGGTAGAAGGCCTCATAACCCAATTAAAAATGAACTTAAAAGGCGTCGCGAGAATGCAGGGCATTTGCTGATAAAACAGCAAAAAAGAAATGACACCTGAGGGATTCGAACCCTCGCCTATTACTAGACCGCGAAGAGGGACGACCGGGCGTACCAATCGAATACCTGAACACGGCGCCTTAGACCACTCGGCCAAAGTGCCTTCAATTACTGTTTGAATATTCTCTGCTTAATTACACCTAGATTAGTTACATCCGACGTTGTTGGTGTCTCTTCTCTCCATCGTCTCCGCTAATCTCTAAACCTCCATGTGGATCCCCAACGGCTTACATTCCACTTTCATCAAAAATAACCCGGTGTTTGCCATCCAGGTTATTGCCATGCATGCCAGTGCCCGCAAGTCGCAACAAGCAACTTCATCTCACGGCAATTCGGTGTTTTTCTCGCCATGTTGTGCTGCTTAATCACGGCCAATTAGCTGTTTTCGGCAGGCAAGTTTCTCCCACTCCATTTCCCCTAGGCTGTTCTCACGGACACCGCCCCGTCACCCCATGATGGCAGTACAGTTGTGGCGACAAGCATTCTACAGCTGCCCTACGATTAGCTGCATTAGGTTGTTCATGCAGCGCCTGTTGCCACTAGACCGTACGACTCTCGAATGTCCGCCTCCCTTGTCTTGGCTTCGCTGCCTCACTGCCCATGTAACATTTCGACCTTGCAAGTGCGGCGAGCTGCAGATATGTGTAGTGTGGTTGCTTGCTTGCCACCTTGCTTCTGCTCTGCTCCATTCTCTTCCTAGCAGCTCGGCGACGACGCTACAATGACATCTCAGCTCCCCGGGCTGTCGCTGGACGGCTTTAGACGGTGCCGAGTACAGCCGGCGCCAGCGGCATTCATCCTGGCATAGCTTGATATCTTTTGTTTTGTTTTATTTTTTGCCACGATGCCTCTATCGTACCTTAGGCGTGGCAATCGGGGAGAAATGTCCACGAGCAGTAGTTGACCGATCCGGGGTTTTGTTTGCTATTCGGCCAACAGTACAATGGATCACACTTTCAGTTTTGGTAGAGCTTGCGTATGTATGTATGCCGGCTGTGCCGCTTACGCTGATGCTATGCAGACATCCATCTTATGCCGGGAGGTTAATAGTTCCCCATAGCTACATTTAGCACGCATGATGGAAGGTTGCACAGCGTGAAAAGCCGCTCATCTGACACGTCGACTCGTCAACATCACCCCTAGAATAGCGGGAGATCGGACCATTGCACTGGAAAACCAACGCAGTTTTCACATTGTGCCACCATGCTCTTTTTCTTTTTTTTCCTTTTTTTTTCTTTTCTCTCTCCGTTTTGATTGCGACGTCCTGGCGCGATGCCCAGGACTACAGGAGGCTCCTTTCCCACCTGCAACACGGCTGGCTGCAGGTGATGCTTAACAACTGCGAGTGAGATGGCATGGGTGGTCGCGACGCTGACCTTTGAGCCCCAGCTGGACACCTTGTTGCCGTATTACGATTGCCACTCCGCGTAATCCCGGCCCAATCGCACAACATCAAAGAGATTAACGTACGTAGCCCAGTCTATCTATCAGCTACAGATACATGCAGTAGCGGCCCTTGCTCCAGGCACGACCAGACAGTCCAATGGCTCCCTCTACCGTCAATGTTTGCTTCTCTCTTGCCAAAATTTCCCCTAAATGAGAATGTCAAACCGCGTACATTGGCTGTTGTCGACTTCCTTTCGTATCTTAGATGATGGTCCGGCAAGGTGCTGCTGACCAGTTCACCTGGTCAGCGCCTGCTCCGATGCAAGGAAATGGGGTTCCTTCTTGCTTCTTAGACCAGTGGAACCCACTTGTCAATATTAGACCATCTGCACTATTTGCTATCCGTACCTTGATTTCTTGGTTGAAGGGGTGAGCCATTTTCTATACGAAGATAGCATGTCAATGGGTCGACTGACGCCTGACATGGCCAGTTCGTCAAGAAATAGTGTGTCCAAAAGTGGTCATTATTGGAACCGATGACGGAGGGTAAGATATCGAACTGCTCGCGTGCCATGATGCGACATACGAAGGTGTACGATGACGAAACCCCTGGGGGCCAATATCATCTGCAGAAACCCTTGCAAAATGACGGATTGTTTTGGCCCAAGTGTCAGATGACCCAACGTCGTCTTCATACACAGCCAGTCTTTGCAGCCTGAGCTCGAAGGTGTCGCCGTCCGTCTCCGTCTACATCTCTACATTCAGCTTCGGACAGTCCCGAGATATTGTTCAATGACAAGTAAAAAAATTGTGGAACATGAGAAAGATCGCCGTATTCCCGCGTCGCGGTTATGGAGTAGACATGCCATAGGAGATATGAGTAAGTTAATTACGGAGTCACAATCCGACATCCCTCCTTTTGCTGCACATCTTGACTATACGCATACACACGGTCAAGCCTCCCGCCTATCCGGTTAAGTGTTCCGTTAGTTATTGTTATTGCTCGCCAGGGGACATCATCTTCCCATATTTTCTCTTTTATCGCCGAGCATATCCCCTATCTTTGATGTTAGTGGAGTGAGTGCACAGGCATCACGGTATTGCCCACCCTCTCGACAACTACGTCAACGAGTCAAGGATTTTCTATCATGAATTGGAGCCCATCTGATTGTGACACTCTTCAATGCCTTGACACTTTCCACCATTTCTCGTATCCGTCCTTCATTTAGCTAACTCTATAGACTGACGGTGTCCGTAAGTGGGGATCTTCCGAGGTATCTCCTTCGAAAAGCTCTGGCTCTAATGAGCGAAAAACGCTACATTATAGCAACTACCCTTTGGACTACTTGACAATCACCTGCAGTGTATTCTTTCACATTGGTTTTCTCCCCGGTTACGACCTGTCGCCGAAAAATACCGTGGCCTTGCAGCGAGGTAGCTGTTGCCAGGCGCTGCGCCAGGACTTGACATGTCACAGCCTCAAATTCTTACAGGATTGCAGTCTCGTTGCCCGACTCGCTCGCCTCTTCGTCCGTCACAGATTCGACCGATACTTGGAGTCAGGTCAAGAAAACGATAGCTTCGTAAGCGGTTTGACCTGGCCGTGCCAAATGTCAAATGACATAAATGATGGAAACCTGACGTGCAATTTATTTCATTCCTTTTGCTTCTTTATCCATGAACTCATCAATCCGAAACTTATAACATAACTATACCGGGTATGCCCTGCCAAAGAACATTGACCAACCTTTCGATACGCAGAGTCAATTGCGTCAAGCGCGAGATGTGGATCAGGCCGTGAACAGAGTGCAAGCTTCATTATGCGGCTTTGAATTCAGCGCGGCTTTTAACGCAGTTTACTTTGCATATCGACCTGTTAGTCAGTGTTCTCCGGCCATGCAGCGTCTATGTCGTGTAATTGTATACCAATGCTGCTAATAGTCCCATTCAACACCATGTACTTGCTCAATGCTTAAACCCAAACGCCTAAAAATGCCGAAAAAGTCATGCTTCTACAAGTCCGCTCATTTGTCCTTCGGTGTCCAGCTATAATTCACTATGCCAGGGCCAGGCTGTAATCCAAGAAAATACAGCCAAAATCGATGAACTTCGTTTGCGGCGATGCGACATCTAAAATAACACAATCATGGGTCAGAACCGGCCAAAAATTACGTCGTGAAGAAGGAATCTGATCAACTCACATTAGAATGGAGCCTTGCAACCAGCCATGCAGGGCCACCTTAACAGATTGTCGAAACAGTGCTAATTCATGGGCAAATTGATCCGACACAGATCCACTCTTAGGTCCACGCCGCTGCATCTCCAGAAGTTCATCCCATAAATCTGTCTCTTTTGAGCCACCGGTCTTGGTGGTGCCATCATCATCCTCGTTCTCGTCCATCTTCTCCTTAATTAATTCAGGAGAAGATGGTGCTGATGGTTGGCGCTCCTTTATCGGCATATTTTCGTTCTTTTCGGCCACCACCATCTCTTTAAATTTGCCAATTGCCCTCATAGACTCGCTCAATCGTGCGTAGGTATTGAAGAGAGCGACAAGCTCCGTCCGCTTAAGAGCAGGAATGTCTTCACTGTTGTTGTCGAACTCGAAGAGCACCTTTAATGCAGTGCCGTAGCCATTGGTCTGGATCTTGCCCCAAAGCCTGCATTTGTCGCAGCCTACGCAGTCCATGAGTCGACTGACGTTACGGAAGCGGTTGCGGAAATCCTCCTTAAGGGATGGACCCTCCCCATTGACAAACATGAGGCCCTCATCAAAGATTTGGGGAATGCTTCCTGCTTTCTTGGTTACTTCGTCCACTTTGGCCCGAGTAGCCATGTCCTCGCTTGGATCGCCAGTGCAGAACGTGTACTCGGAACTGCGCAAATACGGTCCAAGCTTTGCGACCGCTCTGGTGAGAAGTGCGTAGTTGAAGTAAAGGTTGCTAATACGGTCAGAATATCCATGAAGGCGGTCCTTGTAGCATTGCAAGTTTGGCTGCCACAATCCTGTGGTCTGGTTCAAAAAGTCCCAACAGAGATGGGCGCTAATACTCGCGTGCATACCAGACATGACCCTGTAAAAGACTCTCTTCTCGAGGCATTCATCATCAACCTCGTAACCAGTATTAGCAACAAATGGAGTGTTTGGATATTGAGCACGCTGCGCATGGAGTTGAGCTTGTCTGCCGGCAGCGTCAAGGACCTGCTTGAAGCCTTGTGCCGCCGGGTTGTAGTTGAGTGACATGCCGAGGTTTGCAGAATGGGGAAACGAGCTCTTCTGGAAGCAATTTTCCCGATAAATGGCGTCCCAAACTTGTTTGGCACCTTCTCCCCCGTATCCTGTGAAGCGCTCTGGGTTGCGCAGCAAGCTAACGTAGTCTCCTTTGGAGGAGGCGGTCTCATCTTCAAGGACGCAGTAGTCCCTTTCGTCACACTCATCATCGTATTCTACCACGCAGCTCTCGCCAACGTCTTCCCCGAGCTCCCCATGAAGCGGTCGCTTGGGATTCTTCTTTTGTTCTTGTTTGCCAGGGTGCTTCGCAAGAGGGCCTTCCAGCTTTCCAAGTTCTTTTGCCCTCCAGACCTCAGGGATATCCTCCTCATTGTCGAGTGTTTCAACAGCGCATCCTATGTTGCCGCAAAACCCATTCTCATCATTCCAGAACGGACAACGTTTATTGAAGAGATTGAGCCGGTAGTGGGAAAAGAAATCAGTGGTTCGAGTAAGATCGTCGAGGGCGGGCTTGACGCGTTCGTTCAATTTTTCTAGTGTCGCGTAAGAGGCGCAAGCGTCTTGAACGATTGATTTAGGGGTGATCTTTACGGCCAGAAGAGTCAGAATTGTGACAAGGGAAGGTGTACAACATGTTGTACCGTTCATCATGGGGTTACTTACCGCACATTCATCCTCCGAGCTCGCTGTGCAGTTTGCGGGAGAAGCCCAGAGTGTAAAGACAGAGAGATAGAATAATCTACTAGCAGACCTCATCTTGACGTCGCAGGCAGGATCCGCCTAGCAACTGGCGAATGCAGGGCGCCAAGAAGAGAAAGGACGGACGATGTCTTCCGTGTAAAGTTGCAAGGGCTGAAGTAGCGAGTTAAATTTAGAAGGAGAAGAGACCAGATGAGGGTGATTCCCAAAGACACTATCTTGTTGAAGGCATGCGCCACAACGTTGCTAGTGTCGGCTCGTCGCCACAGTTGTACCAGCTGAGAAATAGTATATTGGAAGGTAGCGGTTTGCCCGACAAGATTCGCCACTAATAATGCGGCAGAATGAACTTGAGTATAATGAATGCAAAGCAATGCACTCAGGATAAAATGGTGTCAAGAGAGGAAATTGTATGTCCGCAGTATATCTGAGGGACGGTGCAAAGTGGATGAAACGTCAGTTTAGTGAGAAGATGCCACGCTGTCTGATGATGATCAATCAATCATGCAGGCCAGATGTTGGTGCGCTCAGATTTGGTGCTATTTATGGGCTAGTCAGGAGTTACTTGGGCGCCTTCTTCTCCCGGTAAGCCACCAAGCGGAGGAGGCGGGGAAGAACAGAAAGCGACGCCTGCGCTTATGTGATCTTTGATTTTTGGGGGTGGACTGAATGGCACCGCACTTGTACTCCGTGGAGTGAATTGGTGAAGTGTTGGTCTTTAGAACGGTCCAATGTATAACAGAATGAATTGAGACGCAGTTGAAAAGGTACTGTATGTTGGGAGGGAAGAAGCTCATAAAGAATTTTGGTACGTCAATTTCGATTCGATTTCCATAGTAACCCGTCTATTGACTGGGGCAGGACGAAAAGAGCAATGTGGCCACTTTGCACACCATACAGTTTCACAGCCAGCCTCGCACCACATCGAATCTAGCGGCGAAACATTGCGGCCCCGCTGTGTTCCATAGTCATGGTGCTCCCCTTACCTACATTCCTCTTCCTTCCTTGCTTCCCACCATCCAAGACAACAAGAGGAGTCTGTCCCAGCATCATCTTACCTGCCCACATAAGCTGATTCATGGTGCGGCAACATCTCAAGCAATTCTCTTGCTTTCCAGTAGATGGCAGCATGTGGCATTTCAATCGTTCATTAAGGGCATCCACCCCCATTGAGAATCAGCAATCTCGAATTGATTTTGGGAGACAGATGGCAGGCCCATTGCGAAACCCCTGGTTGTAGTGTTGCGGTGGTCACACGACCAATTCACAGCCGGCTGGCTCGGCTTGGTGCAACACTACGCCGGAAAACATCAGCATATCTCCAGTTATGACCCTATTTTGCGGCACTATTCTATGGCTTGGATGACCCAGCCCAAGTACTCGTTGGCCCACGCACTAGGTTGACTAATGGACACGTTTTCCTTTCAGAGAACTTGTAACTAAGAGTTCGTTCGTATCCACCGGTTCATCAGTCGGTGTAATTCCTACCATCAGACGACAGCGATAAGGTTTCCAATAAACAGTGGCGTGACAGCCATGTGTTGGTGGGACCACCAGTCTGTGCCTTGGCGATCTCGGGTAAAATTAGCCGCTGTAGTGGTGGCTATTCATCATGGTCGTCATAAATTGGCAAGAAAAACGAACATCAATTCACTTGCAACACCGTGGTCTTTGTATCATATTGCCAACCCTGCGTGAGTCGAACTGTCATTGTCTCCCTCCACTAGTTTGCAATAATTGCAGATTCAGGAACTTGTACTCCAGCGTCAAAAGTGCTAATGGTGGTGTCGGAACCAAGACCGTCAATGAAAGATGAACCACGGTCCTGTGAGTTTGGTGCACGCCCTGTCGAGCTATTCACAAATTGTTTCAAGGGTTCGTCAATTCCGTCTACTTTATGCCAACTAACGCCTGCGTACTTCCCACGTATAAATGTTCAGAATGCTCATTGACAAAAAGCATGCGCCACCCTTTCGTTAACAAAGCAGCGAACTCCCCAAAGCTGTACGTCGACAGCTGGCCTCTGGGGTCCCAGCAACTGTACATATTTCTACCCGATATAATTCCCCGGGCAACGTCGGAGATATCGCCACATCCCGCGCGCCACAAAGGCTCTGTATTAGCATGGGAGTCCGTTCTCGTCTCAGGGGGCCCGCCGAATAGCGAGGCAATCGAGCAGCGTAATCCCGGTAAGTGAGAAGATGCACGAGCCAGAAAAAGAAAATAATGAATCGACCGTGGTGTTATTGATATGTTATCAACCCAAAAATCGTGATGTGCAGACCGTAATATCGTGACGGGGCATGAAGCAAGAGCCATACATTCGTTGAACACCGACGGCGTTGGAAGTGGTGGAGTTGGGGCTATCGTACATGAGGGATCAAGCTCGAATATGTTGAGTCGCTCACTGTGGCGCTTGATAATTGAGGGGGCGCCTGATTTTATCATAGTCAGTACCAGAATCGTGACCCAAACAAAACACGCATTGCCACTTCGCGGCGGTTGATACTCACTTGAACAGGAGAATATGGGGTTCTGGCTCGTGGACCTCGTAGTGCTCCCAACCAAGACTCTGCGGCAACAGTCAGCTACAGTTTGTGCCTAGATCGCACTTTTTGCTTGTGCGCCGCTGACGATGCAGCGTAGAGAGGCCTGATGTTATGGCCATACCTGAGTAATTCCAATCGCTCGCCATTCCTCTTCCCATAACAATTTCAAAGTTCCCTTGGACGTGTCGTGGTAGTCTTTTGGAATTGCCTTCAGCATAGCTTTTGGAAGCTGCACATGTCGATACTCGTATTCGCTGTCGGAGTATCTGAATAAAAACAGTCAGCCACGCACACAGAGCGGCCGAGGCAACCTCGCGGCGATCAACAACAGCGGTGAAGCCCCGAGCTGCAAAACGGCAATATTTACCTTGCAGAGTAGTGAATGGAGTCGATGTACTCGTCAAGTCGCGCCCGTTCAGAATCTGACAACGACCTAGGGGCCTTGTTCCGACGACTCATGTCGATATCCATCAGGGACGATCGCGTCGGCCGAGGAAGTTTTGTTGATTCGAGAAAGCGTCCACCGTTCCGACTATGCCGTGCAGCTGCAGCTCCGGCCTTGAGCTGCACTTGTTTCGCGCTTTCCTTGACAGATTCGGCAAAACAGGAACAGAAAGCAACAAAAGAGAAATTTTTCTGGGTAACGTTCTCACAGCTTGCCCCTTTGAAAATATTTTGAAGGAAAAAGAAATGCTAGAATAGGGCCGGCGCGTGAAGTGCCAGTGCGTGGTGCGGGGAGGGAGGGGAGAGGAGGGGCGGAATCGTCTTCAAGTGGGTTGAGGATTGGATTGTGTTTTTTTTTCTGGCACTCGAGCCAGGGAATGTCGAAGACGGCTTGCAGCGAATTGGGAGGTATGCCGGGAGCCGCGTTCCTCAAGCTAAGCAATTGGACCAGGGAATCTCAACATCAGCGGAAAACAAACAAAACAAGCTAGTTGGCGAGTCGGCACAAAAAGAGTGAAGGTGGGATGGAAACCATACGGTCAGGTGCCACAAGGGACCAGTGTAGTTACTGCATAACAAGAACACAATTGAGCTGTGACTATTGAGCCGAGCGGTTCGGGCAGCCGGGCTCCGCCAAAACAATCAACACAACAATCAGACATGGAGTAGCCAGCTACCCTGCATAATACAACTTAAATTTGATAATGCAACTGCCGCTCTCTTTGTTCGCAATTGACCCGCGCTCTGCTGGCCAATCTTAATCTGCATAGTTTGTGTATTTATTTGGTACACACAATACGGCATCTGATTGTCGTATGGAGATGTAAACTGCTACGCTGATCTGCGCGTGGTGCCGATCGCGACATGACTAGGGCGCGGCTAACTTGTCCTTCTGATCCGAACCACGTTGGAACTTATGACTTTCGGAATTCGGAACCATACGAGGTCACCACGCCGGCATACACATGCCGCGTTTGCACATTACCGTACTCTAGAGCAATCAAGACGCGGAAAGCAAGCAAGATATATGCACGGATGCGAAATTGACAAGGAAAAGAGGCTGGCACACAATCATAAGGCAAATGTTCGCCGACCAAATTGGAATATTTTCGAAGGTGATCGTTATATACGCTACAAAGTTCTTGAAAGTGACAAGTAATTGCATTTAACATGAACAAGGAACGCAATTGTACTCCGTATAACTGCCTTATTGCCGGCTGTAAGTCACGTTCATCGCGTAGCCTTATGGAAATAATTAAGCGGACCGCAGCTTACTAAGCTTTCGGGGCCTTATCTCAGCGGTAGAGAGTCTGATTCCAGCTTTGGAGCATCCAGAAGGTCGTCCGTTCGATCCGGGCAGGCCTCATGGCTTAGTTTCTTTTTCATTTTTGCACTTCATGTGAGATGTGAAGGGGAATGCATGAGGATGACAAAAAATACAAAGACACCTGTTGTCGCAAATAATATTTTTGTGATAGTAGAGAGAGACAATGGTTAGATTCGATATTCTTCTTGATGTAGTTCGGACAATAGACTAGATCCGCCTACCCCCCTCCACATTCTAGTAGTTTATGCTAGCTGTGCATATCTCAGATTTATTCCTGAGGAGATATATATACAGTCCTTGCCAGTTCGTAAAATGCCAGTCCCACTCTGGGCAGGCCACAGTTGCTTGCATAGATTTCACCCTGCGTGACAGAGGCGTATCATGATCCTCACATCCCAAACAAGGAGTCGGCTGACCTTCTAGCATCTCTGTTTCCCCTTCCCGTACTAGACAGCGGTATGTGGGTGATGACATTCCCAATCTTAGCCTTGACGCCATCGGTCTCGATTTTCCAAGTGTGTATATCTCTAAACTCCTTCTCAGTGAAGTTATCCAAGGCCTTCAAACACGACCCTTCATCGGGAGAACCCAGAGTCCATCCGATAGATATATGAAACGCCGAATCTACCGATTCGCTCCGCGTCTGCTGATACAAAGGTGGTTGCCGGAAATGCGTTGCTATTTTATTGCACTTGACAAGAAGGGCCATCAATTCTGGATTCGTCGACAATTTAAGCGGGCTCTTCTTGCCATCCGCCTTGTTAGTAGTGATGTGGTTTGTGGTGACGACACGTAAAACGAAGAACATGCGATCTGACTCGGGGGACTTGTGCCACGCCAAGCCTGCTGGTTTGACAGAAAAGGGAGCAATTCCACTCGCATAAATGGCATCCTCGGTTTTGGAGAGAAAGTCGCCCTTGCTAGAAGTGGGAAGACTAAGCGGCTTGGAAAGACTAATATGCAACGGTAGATCAGTGCCAAGATCGCTGGTTAAGAAGCTATGGAGATGGAAGTCTTCCCCGATCTGACGCTGTGTCTTCTCGATGAGAGCATTGATGGTATCATGTTGTGTTTTGGATGGATGCCCTTTATGCAGTCAGCATCGACGACGATTTTCACCAATATTCTTGTACAGATGTGGACTGGCTTGCATACATTCAACGTATATATGGGTTGGCCAATTCCCAATCACATGAGGATTCAGCCTCTTCCGCCCCTGGTGCAGGCTGGGATCGTCCACAACGCTCTGTCGTACAGTGGATGCATACAGATCATGAAAAGACGAGGGAAGCGGAGGCATAGAATGGCCATCTCTCTCTGCGCTGGTCTTGCGGCGCTTAGTTGGCGGGGATTCTTGCTGAGCCTCATCACCCGATGAAGATGAATAGTCAACAAGACCCATGGTACGGTTGGGGTGTCCCAGATTGGTATGCAGTATACGGAGTAACTAGCTCACAGATATGCCATTGCTTGATGCAATGTGAATTCTCAGATCGCAATTCCACTAGCCTGGAGCACCGCAATTAATGCGCTGTGGATGCTGTCTCTTTCCCAGTCAAGATTAGTATTGCTCGGCATTTGTGGTAAATGCCGCCATGTGAGGTTTTGCCAGGCAGGTTCCGGTAGTGGGACAAGAGCAAGAATAGGTTGAAGCTGCAATTAACGTACTCCGTAGGGTGAAGGGGCTGTCGAAGCAGAATCCTTGTCGCAATTTCGCATCCGTTATTTTACCTGCTCTTTCGCGTCGTCTGTCAGCTTGAATTAGTCTAGGGACCTCGCTTCCGACTGTTGCGCTGGCTAGGTAACTAGCCCAGACCATAACAACGTAGCCAATCATGTCCTGCTGTGGACGGCAGCTTGGGTTGGAACGCCGTCCCTGCCATCAACGCCCACCAGTAAGGCTGTGTCGGTGCCTGAGCGCACGGCCTGCAACCTGGCACACCTCTCTGCCCGGCGCATTGAATTGCACTGCACGCTGGGAAAGAACGCCAGTCGACCCTCGACTTCATATTAGAGTGTTGATATCGGCAATAAAACAGGGCCAGGACTGCGCTTCATATCCCCAAGGTACAGGAATAGGTTCAGGCTTTCTTTGCCCGTCTAGCAGTGGGGGCCGCTTTCTGAGTCGAGACCACATACGTTACAGATTGACATTAAAATAGAATCTGACAAACGCCTCCGTCTGGCGTGCATGTCCTGCCGCGAGCTGACTACCGCGCCTCAGCGCGATAACACTCAATCACAATCACGGTCACTTCTGTCATAGTGCAGACCTCTCCTGGTCTATAATGGTGACTGGTCGATGCTGCATCCACAGGAACGGCATGAGCGATTCAAAAATGAGCTCGCCCCCAGTCCTTCGTTTTTGGTTTTTTAACCAGTACAATACAATATTTGCTTTGGAGATATCATGTCATGACAGTTGGTGAATACTGAGTGGCAACATCCGACCATCTCATCCAAGGTCTTCGTGCTTGGAACGGACATATCGAGATAATATCAGAGCTACGTGGGCAAAACGGCGAGAATGCATCTTCAGTTTGCATTTGCGGTTCTCATCGCTGCACTCTCAACCGCCGTGACCTGCCAGAGCCAATTCATCCTCCCTCCTCCTCCTGGCCCTCCAGGCAACTACCAAGACAACCCTACGCACAAAGAAGGCCAAAAACTCGAAGTACAATGGACGTCGAATCTTTCTTACATGAACTTGATTCTTTGGCAGGAATACCCCGTACCACCAGACACCACTGGGAGAGAATACTATCAGACCTTAGCTGGTATGGAACTCTAGTTTACTCATTGAAGCCCCTGTAACGATGATTGAAACTGGATCTGACCTATTTTTTTGCTTTACAGATCGAACAAGATCGACGAGCCTCATCTGGACTGTCAATCTGGCACCGTCATTCTCGAAAAAGGTTGCTAAAGACGAGGACGCGATATTCTACTTGGGCTTATATGATCCGGACACTCCTGACAAGCGTGTCGCGGCTTGCCATTACTTCAATGTAACGATAGACAATGCGGCTGTCACCACGTCGGTGACTAGTGAGACAACCTCTACTCCATCTGCTACTGCCGTTTCCAGCTCATCGGCAGTTTCTACTACTGCTTCAACTTCAACCTCAACAAGTATGCCAGTCACAGAGTCCGGCGCCGGGCTGTCGAACGGCGCTGTTGCTGGTATTGCGGTTGGAGCTACAGTTGGGGGACTGCTTTTGTTGGGTGCGCTCGGGTTCCTGGCTTGGAGGCATTTGAGGTCCAGGAGGGACCACACGCCAGCAGCTATGGGGCCAAGTGTAACGGAAAACAAGCCGGAACTTTCTGGGCAACCGTCGTACCATGGTTCTGAAACTCCCAATTATTATAATCACCAATACAAGCCAGCGCCGGTTCACGAGGCCCCTTAATAAACGGGTATATGGGGGGCGGGGGCGGAAGGGGGGGCGAAGAAGCGTAATCATCTAAACAGATTCGTTGCCGTGTGTGTAGTACACATACGGTTCCCAGCATAGCCTATGAAATGTCATGCACATCACTACTGGTTTCTTCGGTTTTTCTTCCCAAACCTATCCAGCAACAGTACATGGAAAAAGAACATAATCACGATTATGTGAGATACAATCACCTCCATCAGTAATGGGTCTAGCCAAATGGAATGCCTGTCATAGATTTGCTCGAAAACTGCGCTGACGGAATGCCCGAGTCTCTTCTTGATTCACTCCGTCTACATGAGTTTGTCTCCACTGTTAGATGAAACCGGGTATCTGAGCAACTGTGTGACAGGCAGCCGGCTCTGCAATGCCACTTGGTGTATCACAAACGGGGGCTCGTAGAATCGTGTGAATCAGCCTACTTTGTGGTGGAAGGAGAGAGAAGGTACCGGAACTATATAGTTACTTTCCTTTGCATCTCTTCATTATCATTATATGTGACTGTTGAAGATCGGGCCATTGCTCTTCCTTCTATATCGCCTGTCTTTCATCATTTGATCGCTTTTCAAATACGTCCGCTCACTGGAACTGTTCAGTGCCAACCATAGCAAGATGGCTTCCAAAACAACCCGGGTCGTCATCTCCCGTTTGCACCTCCAGAACATGAAATTTCCGCACCATGCATCCGTAACCGAGGTCGAGCACCTGTCCTCCTACAACTGGCTCGACAAAGACACTCCCACCATTGCTGTCCCAGGAAGCCCATCACTTTGGGCGCCCCCCAAGGGGCCTCAGCAGCTGACCAAGGATTCTGGCCACGTATACATCAGCCAAAATGCTGGTCGTCTGCCGGAGACGCCCATGGAGCCGCTGTTTCGTGCACTGCACGTCACGAAGCCCTCGTTTGACATGGCTTCGATTGATGTTGTCACCGATCGAAACAACATGCGGAAGCTTCTGTCATACGTCAGCTCAGGCTTGGGCGGTGATCCGCTCGAACCGTTCGTGATTCGACTTGAGATGGCCAAGGACACTCTGCTGATGTGTCGCCACGATACCGCAACAGTACAGTACATTCGGCCGAATGAGCATCGAGGCTTCGGCCACGCATTTGAGAAGGCATACACTGAAGACCAAATCAGTGGCAGCTCGGGGCATCACAGAATTATCTCATACCGCTTCTGCGATCTTGCATTCATTGTTCGCCACGAAACGGATGGATACGTGGCAGATCACACTGCTGAAAGTGGCCGTGATTATCCGGACGACGATGATCGTGGCCTTTCTAACATGCTGGGATCATTGGCACTATCTCCAGATGACGCCTCTCCGAGTGCCACGCCCCTTGGTTCCGAATTGGCTGTGCAGAAGATGGGCCAGCAGATACCTCTCGGATCAACGCTCGAGATCAAGACTCGGTCCCGTTTTAAGCGCCTTGAAGTTCGCGACTTGGCGCCACAGCTCTGGGTGTCGCAGACTCCAAAGCTTGTGGTAGCCTATCACAAAAGGGGCATGTTTGAACCACCTATGGTGGTGAAGGATGTGGCACTCGAGATCCGGAAATGGGAAACGGCCAACCAGGAGCATCTGGGGACATTGGGGGCG